CTGTGCTCATCCGGGAGGAAGACGGCATCCAACATGCCATCTTCTACGTTAGCAAGACCCTAAGGGAGGCCGAGCTCAGGTACTCCCCTGTGGAAAAAACGGTGTTGGCCATCGTTTGGACTGTCAAGAAGTTGGGCCACTACTTTCAGGCTCACCCAGTTCAAGTCCTCACTCATCAACCCCTCGGCGCCCTCATGAGGAGCCCCACCAGCTCCTCCCGCATGGTTAAATGGGCTATCTTCTTGAGCCAGTACAACATTGACATCCGTCCAAGGCCTGCCATCAAGGGCCAAGCCCTGGCGGACTTTGTGACGGAATGTACCGCAAGGGCAGCCACGGACGGGGAGCCCTCGGCTACCTCGGACGACTGGTGGACCCTCTACACCGATGGCTCCTCCGCGACCAAAGCATGTGGGGGAGGGGTAGTCCTCATTACTCCCGAGGGCTTCAGGGCCTACTATGCAATCCGCTTCTCCTTCAAAGTCTCCAACAATGAGGCCGAATATGAGGCCCTCCTATGTGGCCTTCGGCTGGCTGCCAACATGAGGGCTCGGCAGATCCACATCAAATGCGACTCCAAGTTGGTCGTTGGCCAAATCTCCGAAGAATATGAGGCCAAGGAGGGGAGAATGAAACAGTACAAGGAAGCGGCCAAGGAGTTGCTTAAGGTATTTGAGGCACACTCTCTCACTCAAATACCGAGGGCTCAGAACTCCGAGGCCGACATATTATCTAAGCTCTCGGCCGACTCCCCCGAGCACATCTCCAAAATTGCCAAAATCGAGGAACTCAGCCTCTCAAGCATCCATGCAAGCCCCGTTATGAACATACAACAACGTCAGGAGGATTGGATCTCAGATATCACCGCCTTCATCTCCACAGGGCAGCTACCCGAGAATGAGGCCCGCGCTAAACTGGCAAAGCTGAGGGCTCCCAGCTACACCATCGAAGATGGAAGGCTCTACAAACGATCTTACAATGGCACGCTACTTCGGTGCCTTCATCCAGATGAAGCCGAGGTCGCAATGGAGGAAGTGCACAGTGGCACTTGCTCAGCTCACCAAGGACCCTTCTCCATGTCCCGAAGGCTCATTCTCCAGGGCTACTTCTGGCCAACCATGGCCAGGGACTGTGCTGACCTTGCCCGGAGGTGCACCGCATGTCAACATTTCCAGAAAGCTCCCGGCAGGCCAGCAGTCAACTATGCCCCCATCAGCACCTCTGTCCCATTTTCTCGATGGGGGATAGACCTTGTGGGCCCCCTGCCGAGGGGTACCTCCAACAACAGATACATCATTGTGGCCGTCGACTATTTTACCAAGTGGGTGGAGGCTGAACCCCTCGCCAGCATCACAGAGGCGAAGTGCCGTCACTTCGTCCTCAAGAACATCCTCACAAGGTTTGGCGTCCCCCAGCAGATCATCTCCGACAATGGGACACAATTTGAGGCAGCCCCCTTCTGTGCCCTTTTGGAGGCATGGGGCATCAAACACACCTTCTCCTCCGTTGCCTACCCTCAAGGCAACGGGCAAGTAGAGAATGCCAACCGGACCTTGCTCGAGGGCCTCAAAAAGAAGCTGGAGGCCGAGGGTGGTGGCTGGGTGGAAGAACTCCACAACATCCTTTGGGCCTATCGCACCACCCCTCGGCGAGCAACAGGTGAAACACCCTTCTCCCTCTGCTACGGTTTTGAAGCCAAAGCTCCCACGGAAGTCACCCTTCCCACCCGAAGGGTGATCCAATATGACCCCGAGGTCAACGACAGCAACATGGCCCTCGACCTCCACCTCATTTCAGAACGCCGGGAGCAGGCCTTCATCCGGGCAGAAAACTACCGAAGGCAAGTTAAAAGCTACATCGACTCCAAAGTTCGCACCCGAGAATTTCAAGTGGGGGACTATGTCCTCCGGAGGAGGGAAGCCAGCCAACCAACCGAGGGAGGAAAAATGGCACCAAAATTCGAAGGCCCCTACATCATAGCAGCCATCATCAAACCTGGGACCTACAAGCTCAAACGCCCCAACGGGAAAGAAGTCCCTAGGCATTGGAATGTACACCATTTAGTTAAGTTTTATCAATAATGTAAGAGCGGCCAAGCCCTCATAACTAGTGAATGTACTATCCTATGGCCCAAGGCCTCCAATTTCGAAGAATGAAGATACATTCAAGACATCAAGCCCTCATACTGACTACAGGCCCCATGCCTCACCACGAGAAGAACCCCCTCCGGCACCAAGTGCCGAGGGCGGACACCATCAACACCTACAACAAACAGTGAAAACACCACGTGTTTTCAGTCAAGACCCCTCGGCACCCAGTGTTCCATTTTCCTTCGGCACCCAGTGCCGAGGGTACATTCCCACCTTCATCATAAAAAAAAGAGAGAGAAAATGAGAACACCAAGTGTTCCTACAGAAGACCCTTCGGCACCCAGTGCCGAGGGTACACCTCCATCATCAAACATCATCAAAGAAGACCCCTCGGTACCCAGTGCCAGGGATATGCTCTCCTATCAACTTCCAAACATCCGTTGGGAAACAACGAGTGTTTCATTTGAAGACCCTTCGGTACCAAGTACCGAGGGTAGACGCCTACATCAACTACGACAAAAAAGGACACCAAGTGTTCCTACAGAAGACCCTTCGGTACCAAGTACCGAGGGAAGAAACCTCCATCAGCTACAACAAAAGAGAACACCAAGTGTTCCTGTAGAAGACCCCTCGGTACCAAGTACCGGGGGCTACACATCGAAACTAACACCAAGTGTTGTTTCTAAAAGCCGTACCCCACGAGGAAGCATATACCGAAGGCGCCACCATCGGTGCCGGCGGCACGTAGTGCCCCCGGCCATTTGCAACTAGTGTGCAAATGAAAACCCTTCCTTGAAACGCTTTCCGCGTCACTACCCCCAGGGTGTGACAGGCATGAGAAATGCCCAGGATTCGACTTTCAAAAACGGAACGCTATCCGCGTCACTACCCCCAGGGTATGACAGGCATGAGAAATGCCCAGGATTCGACTTCCAAACCGAAACGCTCCCCGCGCCACCACCCCAAGGGTGTGGCAGGCCACGGACTATGTCTAGCGCCGAGGGGACGACTTTCAAAAATGAGGCGCTTTCCGCGCCATCCCCCAAGGGGAGGCAGGTTACGGACCACCATATCTTGTGCCCAGGAAACGTCCCTCGATCCCCTCGGAACTCGGAAGGTTAACCTGAGGGAGGAGAGCCATTGGTGTATTCTGATGGTCTCCTAATAGGCCCAGCCTTACCAAGAAACCAAGTTTCTTGATGCCTTCCCTTCACCACCAACCAAAAAAAAAAAGGGGGTGAAGGGGAGTAGACTCAGCGAGAAATCAAAGAGTACACTCCTACAAGATCACAACATGCCGAGGGCTCCCCACGGGAACACCTCCGGTAATTGAAGACTCCTATTTCCTGGAGGATACTACTCAAAGAAATATCATCAGGAAACGGCTAAGTCCACTACCTGGTCACCTCCGATCACAAAAACACCGAAGGCTTCAACAATACAAAGGGACTGGACTATCCAAGGTCCACTAAACGGTACTTCAAACAAACACCGAAGGCATCTGTTATGCACAAATACCGAGGGCCCTTTCCCCATGACAAGGGTCAAATTCTACAACTTTTAAAGTGTATGCCGAGGGCACACACTCCTCATTGGCTTTCTTCACGACAACAGGATTCCACACATATTTGGCCCTCGGCCAGAGACTCATACAACACAAGGGATCTACATCCGGAAGCTCAACACCAATTGACGCTTAGAAAATATTCTAAGTCCTAAATTAGTAGCCCCCAGGCATCTCGCAAAGTAATGCAGAGTCAGATGGCACCTATCACCCGAAGGCTACACAAAGAAACAACACTTGAAAGAATTCCAAGTCCTAAAACTGGGCCCCCGGCTCAACCAACATTACAGCCAGGGGAATACAATAGCCGAAGGCTATGCGATACAACAACACTTGCAAACAAAAAAATTCTATGTCCTAAAGATGGGCCCCCGGCTCAGTCAGTATTGCAACTGAAGGAATATGACAGTCGAAGGCCATTCATCAAGAAGGGATGCCATCTCCCGAAGGCTCCCAAGGGAGATTTTGCACTTAGAATATTTTCTAAGTCCTGCATATTTTCCCCCCCGGTCAACTACTCTTACATCAAGGAGGGATGCCATCTCCCGAAGGCTCCCAAGGAAAAATCAACACTCAGAATATTTTCTGAGTCCTACATGTTTTTCCCCCGGTCAACTACTCATGCATCAAGGAGGGCTACCATCCCCCGAAGGCTCCCAAGGGAAAATCTACACTTAGAATATTTTCTAAGTCCTGCATATTCCCCCCCCCCCCCCCGGTCAGCTACTCATACATCATGGAGGGATGCCACCTCCCGAAGGCTCCCAAGGGAAACTCTACACTTAGAAGATTTTCTAAGTCCTACATACTTCACCCTCATCTCAAGGGACCTAATTGCCGAAGGCTACCTATCAATCGAGGGCTACAGTACACAAGGAATCAACACTCAAGAAAATTTTCTAAGTCCTAAAGAATTGCCCCCCGGCCTATTCAATATTTCAGTTGGGACTCCACAGTAGCCGAAGGCTACATGACATACTACACTTGCAAAAAATCTCTAAGTCCTGTGCATTGGGCCCTCGGTCCAACATTCACACATCAGGAAGGGATGCCATATCCCGAAGGCTCTCGAGGGGAAATCTACGCTTAGAAATTTTTCTAAGTCCTAGGATTTGGGTTACTACAAACGCCCGAAGGCCTCATGCTGTGCTACACTTAAAAAAAAAATTCTAAGTCCTAATTGCTGCTGAACCCTCGGTTGCATATCCATCAGAGGGCGCTCAGCTACCGAAGGCTTCCGGGGGCAAGCCACAATCAGAAAACATTCTAAGTCCTAAAACATACATTCAAGAAGTAGGAGGCATACATTCAAAACATAAGGCGCATTCAAATGTAAAAAGCCCGGGGGCAGCATGCATTCATCAAAAACAGAGTAAGTGTGAAATTTACAAACAGGCCGAAGCCGAAGGATCAAAGTTGTTCATTACAAAATATGTTCAAGGATTTTTAAATACAAAGTCACTCTACAACTACAACAGCATCATTCACCGGGGCGCCCTCTGCAGCCGGCCTCGATGATGCCTCCGCTCCGGTCTCGACAGCGTCGTCCTCGGCCTCATTCTTCAACTCTGTGTCCTCAAGGTCGGGCCTCTGAACACCTTCCGGGAGCGACTCACGGACATCAGGCTGCAGGGGAGGAAGGCCATACGCCGAGGGGGAGAAGTCCTTTTGCTCAATGCCCAAATGTCGGGCCATCCTCCGGTAGATGAGGGCCTGGGTGAAGAATTCGCCGGCTTCATAGTACTCTCTGCCCTTCCGGGCCATCCATTCCCACCCAGGGCCCTCGGCCCATTCCTCGACGTGTGCCTCCACAACCGAGGACAGCCACATCTTGCGTCCCTCGACCCTCCAGCCCTCGGCGACGAAGGCATCAACGGCTTCCTCCCGAGCCTTGGCGACGGCCAGCGCCTTGGAGTCCTCGGCCTCTTTGGCAACCCTCCTGGCCTCCTCAGCAGCGTCCTCGGCGTCAGCCTTGCCCTTCTCTGCGGCCTCCAATCTCTGCTCCATTTGTCGAAGCTCCTCTTCCAGCCTGGCCCCCAGCTTCACCGCCTCTTTATTTTTGAGGATGCATTCTTTCATCTTGGCATCCTGCTCGGCTTTATGGAGGCGCCATTCTTGAAGCCTCCGGGCATGTTCACCGAGGGCTAGACAAGCCTGCAGACCAACAACCAAAATGGTTAAAAACAATTGCACAATATAATCAAAGGAGAAAAGGAGGAAAGCTGAGTAAACACTTACAGAAAGGGAGGAGCGGAGGATGTGGTCCTCGAGGGCCGCATCGTTATAAGCCCCGAGGGCAGCCCTATCAGTCTCAGGGGTTATGCCCCTCAAGATGGCCCCCGGGTCGACAGCGCCGCTGGCCAGGGATGTCCCCCTCGGGAACGAGACTTGGAGGACCTCAGGCAGCAACTCCTCTGCCCCCGCCGGCGTTTCACTCGACGGCTTCTCCACATGCACCCCGGAGGCGGGGTGCTCATCAGCGATAATGACTGGGGGCTCCTTCTCGGCGACATCCCCCTTCTTCGGCTTTTTGGTAGCCGGGGGGGACCCCTTGGTCGCTGCCTTCCTCTTGCCGGCAGCGGCATCGCCCTCGGCTTTCTTAAAGAGGGCAGTGGCGGGCTTCTGGATGCCCTGTCCCGACCCCTTCGGGTCCTGTTTCTTCAGACGAGCAAGGCCCTTTACGTTCACCATAGAGACGGGGATACCTGCACAAAGGAGACAAAGGGTTAGTCCGACGGGTCTAAGCGAAGGGACAATAACATCCAAGCAAAAAAAAAAACTAAGTACAAAATTCTAAAGCCCTCGGCTCCTACCTCCGGCCCCTCCGAAGGCCTTGTTGAAGGGAGGGTACTTTTCATCGGTCTCCCCTATGAAGCGGTACCTCCGGAACCCGAGGGTGTATAAATCCACCTCGAGGGTGCAGTCTTTGATCGCCACGTTCTTATTTTTCCCCTCCGGGAACTTGGCCAGCTTTAGGCCGTCTTTCTCGAGAGCGGCACTCCTGATCTTTTCGTGCCTTCGGAATCGATCACGCAGCTCCCTCGGGAATGGGCTCTCATCCAACTTTACGTAGCACCAACGTTCCCTCCATCCTTTGTTGGAAGAAGGAGCATCGGAGAATAGTTTGAAGCGGGCAATCTGCTGCAGGTTGGCATACCCCTCGCCGTTTTCGTGCCCCCCCCCCGGCACAAATTAAAGCTCTGGAAGAATAGATCCAGGCTGGGCTTCACCCCTCGGGACTTGCAGAGCTGGAGGAACCCCGCAATGTAGGAGTGGCTGTTGGGCGTAAGTTGGCAGGGGACCAAGCCAACAAATCTCAAATATTCCCGGAGGAATGGGTGCAGAGGGAACCTAAGTCCCATGGAAACCGAAAGGACGTGAATAACGATACACCCCTCGGGCGCCCTGGACAACACGTCGTCGGAACCTGGCTCCACCACTTCGGCCGAGGGCCCCACATGCAGCTGAGTCACGTACAGATCTGCCCTGTCAGCCTTCAACCTGATCTCGAGGGCCTTAGTGTTCAGCCAACTGTACCCCTCGGGCATGTCCACAGGCTTTCCTTGATCGACGGCCCTCTCCTTCTTCTTGGTAGCGGCCTTCTTCTTCTTCAAACCGGAAACCGCCCTCAGAGGTATCGGATCCAACAGCCTCGAGCTACTGGCCTCCCCGGAACCCCGAGGGGGGAGAACAACAATCGTAACCTTCGAGCTCTCATTCTGTGCCTCATCCTCCGCTGTTTGCCATGCGAGGGCTAAGTCTTCATCCTCGCACTCCTGCTCGAAGCCCTCGGCTTCGACCTCCGCAATGAGTTCCTTCTGGACCTCCCGGGCCAGGACGGCATCAGCACCGTCCGAGGGCTGGCCACTGCTGGACTCCACGTCGGAGATGCCCTCGTCCTCCATCGAGGGCGTCCTCGAGATGTCCTGAGAGTCACTCTGAGACGACATTCTATCTCTAGCTCGAGGGTTCGGGGGAACTAAGGTTTCTAGTGAATTCTATCTCCTAACCCGAGGGCGCAATGTACAGCTATACTAGAAGGAGAAAGGCAGGGAGCACTGACCTCGAAAGCTGAGTTAGGACCGAAGGCTTGAGTTTCTCTCACTAGATTTTTTGGCAGAGCTTCGCTAAGACAACTGAGTTCGCACAGTGGGGAATGGCCCTGGCCTTGGGGTATTTATAGGCGATGGAATCCGGGCTTGGGCCTGGATTCCGGGCCTCTGGACGGACCGTCATCATTACACACCGTCGCTTCACCCAACCGGTGACGCCGCCCACGAACAGCCAGCCATCACACGCCACGTGTGCCACCCCCCCAACGGCTATATCCTGTCGTTACATATTCCAACGGCTATATTTCCAACGGCTATATTCTGGAAGCCCCCGGGTTTTCTACTTCACTCCTCTTCATCAAGGATAGCCTCCGGGTACACTCACTCAGAAGTGCCCCCGGGTTGTGCCCCGCACAGCACATAACAGACGCCTTCGGGATCACTCCCTCAGAAACCCAGGGCTTCATATCAGGGTACCCCTCGGGGATTCCCCCTCAGCGCTGCAAAACCGGGTAGCCCCCGGGGAGTTACCACATTGACGGATAACCCTTGGCACACAGGTAATGGGAGCCCTCGGGTATCTTCATCACCAACTAATCAACAAACAGTGGACCCCCCCGGTAACAACTTCACTGCTGCCCTCATCTGGCAGGCCCTCGATCCCTGGATCGAGGGGCTCCCCTCCGGCGCCACCAGGACATCAACAGCAAGCCTTCGGCTAATCAACACAGGAGCCCTCAGAAGAGAGAGCCTTCGGCATTCCCGTCATTCTCCATTTTTTACCAAGGTTTGACATTTTCGATTCATCATTGGGGGAATTCGGTGCACTCTTTTTCCCTCATTAGGATTTTTTCCCACAGGGTTTTTCCTAATGAGGTTTTTAACGAGGCATCCCCCCAAAATGAAACGAAAAGCGTCAGCTTTCGGCCCACAACAGCAACGTAACTACTTTACTCCTTTTCACCACTTTACAAGTGCCTCAAGGAGTGGGGGACTGGAGGACCCCCTCGGGAAAATCATTAAATTACAAAATTTGTGAAATTCCAACAAACAACAAAGAAAGCCCTCAAGTCCCGACATGTGGGTAACTGAGGGAGTGCCTTCGGCAGGGACGTAAAAGCAACAACTCCTCACCAACTTCAGAGATCACGACGGGACAACATCAAAGGGCAAGCACAAATTACTCCTTTTCCCTCAAGTACCTTTCGGCAAAAGGAGTGAGGGACTCCTGATGGAGTATATGGCCCGGGAACCCCCGGTCCACAGACTCCTACTACTCCAGCGAAGGCCCAACAGGCCCAACAGACCCAAATCACAGTGCCCAGAGTATCAAGCAGTCCGCACAACGCGTCAGGGGTGCCTTCGGCCCCCTGGCCGAAGGCTCCAAATTCTCACAGAACGGGTTTCTCAAGCAAATTAAGAAACTGGGAGAAAACGGCGAAAACAGTAGCCCTCGGCATTGTGAGCCCTCGGCACCAGGGTGCCATCGGGTGGAAGAGCCCTCGGCTACTGCTCTATAGCCGAAGGCATCTCACTCGACAAGATATCCGCCTCACATGCGTACAGATCACCGTATCCCGCACAGACGTCCCATCCAACAGCCGCATTAAATGCGGCCACATGCGGCTGCCAGCGCCAACCAGTTGAGGTGACCCCTCGGCCAATGAGCGCTTGACACGTGTCCCTGCCCGGCATTTATTGCTACTATAAATAGCACCCCATTTCCCCATTTGTAACCACGCTGAAAACGCTCCACATTTATAATACACACTCTCTCTCTACTTTTACTTAATTGCTCTGACTTCTCTCTAAGTTGTTCCCCGTAATAACCCTTCGGATATATACCCCCGGGTAGACTATCCATCACAATCTCTTTCAAATCGAGTATTTAGAAATTTAGAATACTCAAACACATCATAATTTTTCAATGTTCTTATTCAAACTTTAAAAATAAACAACCCAAGCTCAAAAGTTCTTATTTTGGGAAGTGAAATGCATAGTTAAAAATGATAAACTTCAGCTCAATCTAATAGATGCTAAGCAGATTAAAAACATTAAAAATTAACAACCCAAGCTCACAAAACAATCTGTTTTCATTACATCACAAAAGTTCCTTTAATTTATCATACTAAATGATGTTTGAAAACAATCTGTTTAAAATCGAGTATTAAGGAATTTAGAATACTCAAACAGATCATAATTTTTCAAATGTTCTTATTCAAACTTTAAAACTAAACAACCCAAGCTCAAAAGTTCTTATTCTGGGAAGTGAAATGCATAGTTAAAAATGATAAACTTCAGCTCAATCTAATAGATGCTAAAGCAGATTAAAAACATTAAAAATTAACAACCCAAGCTTAAAAGTCGTCAAAAAACAAAATCGGAATATATACCTTGAATTCACACACGGGCAGTTGCATAGATGCTAAAGCAGATTAAAAACTTTAAAAATAAACAACCCAAGCTCAAAAGTCGTCAAAAAACAAAATTGGAATATATACCTTGAATTCACACACGGGCAGTTGCAGTAGTCCAGTCTCCTCGCCTGTCTCCGACTATCCTTTCGTCGGTTGGATTTCTGGAAACACAGGTAGCAGGACGGCAGGCACCGAGTTATCAGAAATAAGTGAACGATAAATATAGAAAAAGAAGAATTACAAAATACCTTGTGTGGAGCGAGAGTATGAACTGCATCGATCTTCATCTGTATATATAGTAGTGAAGATTTTATTTTGAGTTTGAGGTATTGAAGAATTCTAGTTTGGGTGAAATTCTGAGTAATGTGGAGATGAAAACTGGCGTGGCGGTTGGTGCGGAGATTTGGTGCGGAGATTTGGTGCGGAGATGAAGAATTGTAGTTTTGGTGAAATTGTAGGAACTGCGGACGTTTGGTGCGGACGCTTGGTGAGGAGAAGAAGAATCGTAGTGTGGGTGAATGTCTGAGAAGAGCGACGGAAACTGGAGTGGCGTTTTAGGTATAAGTGGCGTTTTGGGTGCGGAGACTTGTGCGGATAAGTGAAATTACGGCATAGGCCAAACACGCATAGGCGGGAAAATTTTATCCTTAGCACGTAGTGCTTTTAGGTATAGGATTTATAATTAAATATACTTTGTAAAATTTTAGTATATACACAATAAAATATAGATCCGGAGGTTTAAAAGTACGATAGCATATACCATACATGAAAGAAAACATACCCTTATTTTCAATTATTATGCAGATGTTAAATTGACTCATATACTTGGAAAAAGGGGCAAATAAGCCCACGTATGAATAAAAAAAGGTCAAATAAGTCCTTATATAGAAGGCTATGTCCGGCCGTCACCATTTGGGGCAGTTCCTGGTGGAATTTTTTTATGAAAGGTTTTTAGAATCTTATTCATTAAGTCTAGTTTACTCATACCAAATTTCAGATAATAATTCAATCGGGATAACATTCAAATAAATTCTTGAAGATAACTGCGCTTTTAACTGCACAGTTATCTTCAAGAATTCATTTGAATGCCTTCCGGATTGAATTTTTAGCTGAAATTTGGTATGAGTAAACTAGACTTAATGCATAATATGTTCAACAATTTTCATAAAAAATTTCCACCGGGAACCGCCCCAAATGACAACGGCCGGACATAGCCTCCTATTTAAGGGTTTATTTGACCCTTTTTGGTTAGTACGTGGGCTTATCAAGATGAAAATAACCCATGAAGTATATAGACAACTTTATAAAATGATCATCAACCACTTAAAAGTTTCTTTTAGAGAAGGAATACTCTTAGTATTCTCCAAAGTATGGTTTATAATTCAACTCGGGAAGAACTACATCCATATAATAAATACTCCCTCCGTCCCACAATGAACTTCACAGTTTGACCTACACACATATTAAGGAAATAAACTTATCATGGGGTAAATTTTACTGTTTTGACACTGTTTCGACACTGTTTGGCACTGTTTTGCACTGTTTCAACACTGTTTGGCACTGCTTTGCACTGTTTGACACTGTTTTGATGTAGATTAACTTGTCATTTAAGAAATGAGAACTTGTTTCTAGGACATCCAAAAAAGGAAAGTGGGAAGTTCATTGCGGGACGGAGGGAGTACCTGAGAACTAATATCTGACAGGCTGTTGACTGGAAAGATGGATCTGAGTCGGTTCAAGCCACGCAAGAATGAGTTGCGCATTTGGATTAGTGTCTGTTGAAAAAATGTGTTAAAAATTGTATTAAATGGTCATTTTGGGGGAATTTTTGAGTGGGGTCCACTTCCGATTCGGGTCGGGTCATAGTGATTTCGGATTGTCCTTGCTAAGGGCTACAATTCGATATATGGTACACTCAAAAGGGATAACGGGTGAACGATAAATTGATTCTCGAAGTTCACTCGTTAAAATTGAAAAACTGGGAAAATGATGAGTTTCTAGTGGGATTTATCCCACACCTGAAAACCCAAGGGATTTTCACCCCCTTATAAAAGGAACCCTCTTTGAAAGAGTTAAGATTCCTACGGGGAAAGGCTCTCTTCACGCGCGGGGGGATCAAATCCTGAAAATGGAGAAGAAAAATCGCGACTTGCATACGCAGGCAACCTGCGGACACGAATATCGTCCGAAAATCTATCATTCTAAGATACGATTTAATTTTTGTTTCTTTCCGTAACGTTTTATTTTTCCCAGAACCAAAACTGCTCCTCTTTCTGTTGGCTTCCGGACCAGAAGACCTGAGATGGTTTCTGTTGGCTTCGAAACTAGAAGACCATGAGGTCTTCTGGTGGCTTCAGACCAGAACACCTCATAGGGTGTTCTGTTGGGGGTATTCTAGTCGCGCGGCTGAACGGTTCCGAACCGTTACAGCAATAAATGTCCAACGTTCTTATGCATTTATGCAGCGTTAAATGGACGATTCAATGCCCAACGGACTGGTCATTGGTGTCCAAAGTTCAGGTCCTTTAACTCTCACATTAACACACAACAAATCCTCCTATAAATAGCTGGCAGGTGTTTTGCAAAAACACGTTTTATACATGCAATCATACACACTTAACACGTAATTTTGAGCTCTAAAACACCTCCAGCTTTCCAGAAAAATTCCTGAGTGTTCTGCCTTTGTTCCCGTTCGTCGGAACTTTCGTTTGTGTGCTCAAACGTTAGTTCGTTAGCCACCGTATCTTGAGAAACGGTCGTTGCAACGCTCCTAGCACCGTGGGAGGCGACGAATACGTTTTAAGTACATCGTGCGTAGCACGAGCTCTGCCTAAATTCTGCTTCATCTACTTTCTATTTTCTTTAGTCATTTTAATTAATTAATTTTTATTAATTATTTTCTTTGTTTTTTGAAACACACCCACCGGTGCCCTTTGATGATGTAGCGTGCATACACATAACGTGGCATGGTTTGTTAGCAGACAATGGACTTGCGACGGGGCGGTGAGCGGCGTTCCCGATGATGAGGGCCGACTGTGTTCCAGGGGCTTATATTTCCGGTCGGGTTGAGCCTTTGGATCGATGGGTTGGGCCATGCTACCATGACAGACGATCATGCTTCTCTGTCGAGAGAGAAGGAAGAGGGTGGTGGAGTGATTTGCCCGTGTGGCAAGGATAGATGCACTGTGGCGATGAGAAGGAAGACGTCGACGGTAGGTTTCTTCTTGATGAAGAACGGTTGGGCGACCAACTAAGAGAGGTGGTTGGCTGAAGGGACGGCCGTTGAAGGGGCGGCCGACTGAGGGGAGCAGCTGATTGTGCTACTAACGGCGAAAAAATAGGGTTAGGGTTAGTGCTCGTGTTGATAACGTGTTATAGGGAGAATTGAGCGTAGAGTTTCGTTACCGAACATTCCTATAAATAGGGATAAATTAGGATTTACAAGTGCGGACCAATTTTTTTATAAACGATAGCACAGGACACAAAAATTCTTCTACCATCTGATTATAGTGTCACCTTTTATTTCCCTTCTCTCCTTTGTTCTTTTATACTCTACTTCGTATCTTTCTCCTTTTTCTTTTTGTCTCCCTCTCATTTATCCCTTTCCTTTATCTTTTCCACCAAGCACACGCCCTACAAAGTTAAACAAAGCTATTTCGTAGTTCGTACATCATCATGCCGTTTCCCCTCTAGACTAAACCCGTGGAATCTCGTACTCAAGGGTCCGAATGCCTGAAAAACTGGTTGATAACTATTTTTGTATGAAAAAAGAAGAAGAGCAAGAAGAAGTCTTGTCTTGGCTGTTAATTCTGTGAATGTGATTCTCTCTTTTCCCATGAATAATTTTCTCCCTTTTACTACGCATTTGTCCTTATCTTACTGTTTACTACTGTGAATATTTATTGACGGAGTTCTTTTTTCTTCCGCACCAACGGTTTTGCCGTTTGCTTGACCTGTACTCCGTATGCTTTGCATTGATTATTGCCCCGTATAATCCCTTACTTTGATTCTTCAACCCTTGGGATATTTTCTTATGATTTTAGACTTTATTTATATTATATTCCCATCTGTTTCGTACCTCGCTTGTAGTCTATCTCCACCCACATGCCTGTTTTTTGAGTTTGTCTGATCTGGTGGATCCAATCACCAGAATACATTTCCCCTCCCCCGTCAAATTCTGTGTCTTTCCCAGCTTCAGCAACACCGACTGCAAGAAGAAGGTGAGTTCCGTTGACTCTTATTCTTGGACATCTTTGACCGATTCCTGTCGGTCCGGCTTCCAGTTCACTGCAATTTGAAGTGGGTCCGAATCAGTCTTCGAGATTTTTTGAATTTCTTAGAATTATATGAACTGGGGTTGTGATATTTCACAACTGGTGTTGATTGTTCTTAGCAAAGTTGTGAACTTTTGATGATTGAGTTGGGCTTGGGGCGGCCTTAAGGCATGTCAGGGTTTGAGATTTCCAAATATGCGCATAGCCCTGTGCACAAAGCCGTGCTCCTTAAAGACTACGGGAGTCTCAGTAGGATAATAGCTGGATTGCCACACCTATGTGACCCATCCAAGATCCATTCTGAATCGATTTCAATTGCGGAGGAAGCCAAAGCCGATGCTATTTCGGTAATTATTGACCGCCGTGATGTGCCGAACCGGGACACCCCTCTCCACCTGGCTGTCAAGCTGGGCGATGAAACTGCCACTGATATGCTTATGCGCGCGGGTGCAGATTGGAGCTTGCAGAATGAACAGGGGTGGAGTGCTCTACAGGAGGCTATATGCAACAAGGTGGAAGGAGTTGCCATGATTATCGTCAGGCACTACCAGCCGTTGGCATGGGCAAAATGGTGTAGGAGGTTGCCACGGCTGATTGAGACCATGAGAAGGATGAGAGACTTTTACATGGAGATCACTTTCCATTTCGAGAGCTCGGTCATTCCTTTTATATCCAGAATTGCCCCTTCCGACACGTACAAGATCTGGAAGAGGGGTGGGAATCTCCGGGCAGATATGACTTTAGCTGGTTTTGACGGGTTCAGAATACAACGTTCTGATCAGAGTGTTCTCTTCTTTGGCGATGGGTCCGAAGATGGGAAGTTCCCTCCAGGCTCATTATGTATGGTGTCACATAAAGATAAAGAAATCATGAACGCTTTGGACGGTGCAGGAGCTCCGGCCACGGATGCTGAAGTTCAGCACGAAGTTGACGCGATGTCTCAAACGAACATCTTCCGGCCCGGAATTGACGTCACCGAGGCTGTTCTCCTCCCGCAGATGACATGGCGGCGGGCAGAGAAAACTGAAATGGTAGGCTCATGGAAAGCGAAGGTGTACGACATGCACAATGTGATCGTGAGCATTAAATCAAGGCGGGTCCCAGGTGCCATGACGGATGATGAGTTCTTCAATTCTTGCAACGAAAACGAAACAGAGGGCGAGGATCTTAATGAGATATTGACCGAGGATGAGAGGAAGCAGCTCGAGGCTGCCCTCAAGATTGACACAGCGTCGGATGATGTCAGCACTGAAAACGGCATTGATGTGTTGATCCCACACCGTCATAGCTCGTATGAGCAAAGGGACATTCCCATTGTTGAGGAGATGAGTGTGGAGAGGGTGGACGAGGAGAAGAAGAGATGGTTTAATGGGTGGAGGAAAAAGGAGTATAAAGCTGAAGGAGATAAAAAGGTGGTCCCACCCAAGAGTTCCGTCTCTGTAGAAAAAAACAAGGGTTCTTCACCTGCTAGGCACTCTGTGGATGTTAGTTTGAAGAAGGATGATTTTCAACGGAGAAGAGATATGAAAGCTTCTACATCTGCCTATAATACTGAGAGTTCAAACCGGCGTAAAGAGACAAACAGAGAGAGTGAGTATAAGAAAGGGTTGAGGCCTATTCTATGGCTTTCCCCAGATTTCCCATTGAGAACTGAAGAGCTGCTTCCACTTCTTGACATTCTAGCTAACAAAGTTAAGGCTATCCGCAGACTGAGAGAATTGCTTACAACAAAACTTCCTAAAGGAACCTTTCCAGTTAAGGTATGCTGATTATATTTCAAACACTAATGTGTAAGCTAGACAATGATAAGATTTAGTACACACACCTGAATACAAATAGACATTGTCTTTTTTCCCTTTACATCCACTGTTTTTTCCCTTTACACCCACTGTTTTTTTCCTTTACATCCACTGTCTGCATGACTATGCCCTTTGACCCTTCATTTATGTGTTTCGTGATTGACTATTCTAATAAACTGTTGGGAATGTTTTGGTATGTGTAAGGATGAATTACTTCCAACAGTAGATCTTAGGTGATGCTTTGCATTTTGCTATTAAAGATGTTTTTTTATAACTTGTGCTACCTTGTGGGTACTGGAAATTCTATTCTGAGATGATTTATCATTTTTGGGAGTTACATTTATATCACCGATAGGAATAAATATGATGATGTGCTAAATGCACAAGAAGTCGCCCAACATTAGGGTGTTTGTAGGCTCTAGTTACTGTGACCTTTTGTTTAAATACTAAGATCAGGGATATTGAGTGTGAAATAGGTGATTGACTCCCCTATTGTGTCTTATAATGAGTATGATGAGGAGTAATTCGGTTCGATCTAATTTTAGAACAAACTTTGGCCAACCTGAACAAACTTAAGGGCCTATACTGAATCACACTTGGATAACAGGTTTTTAATGTGAACGTTTTGATTCAGTCCTCTTTATTATATCTTATATCGAGTTTGAAGAATGTTATTTGGGTTGGATAAGCGTTATAGGACCATGATAAAATGATACACTCATACACGTGATGTAACCGCATGTTATTCTAAATATATAGTTTTTTGGACGGCTGTATAGTTATAATATGACTTCACAGTGTCAATCAGCTGTAATATGTATGCGGTTGAATGGATGGGAAGGGTCAGTAGGAACTAGGAAGCAGTAGGTTCTATCTAATTAAAGGGACATGGAGATTGAAGGAAAATTCTGTAGATAAGAAATATAGTACAGTATGGCTGCTATATTTGATCCTTCCTCTTATCCATCCTGCATATGGTTTAATGCTTTAGTTTTGTGTAGTACATTTAAGACAAGAGGTTTAACTGTTTCTGAGTGGGAGAATCTTTAAAGTAGTACTCTAAGCTTATATAGTGTTTCATAGATGGTCGTAACTATGTCAAAAAAAGTTTAACGTGCTATAGTCAGGCCTTAGAATGGACCTAGTGTCCTAGGCTATGTTTGAGTTGGAAATAGACGGGTTTAGGTCAGGATTTTCTTCCTTCCCCGAGTAATCCACACATACTGTTTGTATCTTTATATTCAATGGCTTCCTTCTACATTTCTCTGGGTGGGAAATAAACGGTTCTAGGTCGGGATTTTCTTCCTAGTTACACCTTTGCAATTTCATTATCTTGCACTCCCCTTTTTCCAAAGGGAGTTCTATTTGAGAATTTTTTTTTGTCCGAAAATGAATCTTTTTTTTAAACAAAAGCATCTAATTTTCTTTATATCCTATGTATTTTTCAAAAGGGGGAAATAATTTAAATACCCCAAACTTTGAAGGCGTGTGATGTAAGCACCCCAAACTTTCATATGTAATATTTATACCCCGAACTTTATATAAAAAGCAATATTAGTACCATGAACATATGTTTTTTCTTTCACAATGTAAATTAATGACGCTTTAACTACACCTCTATAAATGTTTAAGTATTTTAAACCACGTGCTTAACACCATAAGTTTACATTATCGAATTAAAAAAAATACATAGTAATGGTGCTAAGTGCTAACATAACTTTTTTATGTAAAGGTCGGGGTATATATATTACATTATTACATATGTAAGTTTCGGGTGCTTACCTCACACTTCTTCAAAGTTTGGGGTATTTAAATTATTTTTCCCTTTTAAAAAATATAATACTAATAGTCCCAATTCTGAAATAGCTAATTTTGTTAAATTTATGTAAATTTTACCTAATAGCTAGCAGCCTAGCATTGATGGTTTTAATGTTGTACCTTACAATAAATGTCATTGGCTATTGTGGTTGTACACTTGTACCCAATTTAATCCTAGACTTTTTACTTGCTCAGATTTGACCCTCAACCTTCATTTCTTTACAAGTTTTTTGTCTCCTGTTGGTTTTTCCATTCTTTTCTCTGTCAAACACAATCTCAGCCGTCCATTATGTCACTAGAAGAGTCAACAGAATGACTCATCTATAAGTTGATACGCGTGTTTTGATAGAGTCTAGCTAGGGAAAGGGCTAGATTTAGGCAAGGACGGCTCATCTTCCTGTCGGCCTGTCCCTCTTTGACTAAGACTCTTCTGTAGTGAATATGGCATCTGTCAGCACAATAGGAGGAGTCTCTTCTGTAAAGAGAGCTCTGTGTTTGACAGAGCAAAGACAGAAAGAATAAAGAGAGGGCTGAACTTTGCATATAAATAGAAGCTGAGGATCAAATCTGATTAAATTATAAAATTAGAGCCAAACTATGTACTCCCATGAAAGTCGAGGACTATTGTGTATTGTTCCAATGGCTTCATTTTGGGACGGATGTAATAAATTAGTAACTTGTAAGGTTCAGCTTAAACACATCATTTACTTTTTAATGGTAAGGACTCATGCTTGTATTCGTATTTCGGGTAATATGCCTTTCATGTTTAGCACATCATAGAAGAATAATTTAGTAAGTAGTACTTAGTACGATGGTGATTTCATCTTATTCTTTTGTTTAACAAGTATATATCCGCCTTTCTAGGAATGGATGAATTGCAAGATCAGATTTTCATTTTCCTGAAACATCCTGTTATAGGATGATGAGCTTGTAAATGACCTAAAGTAGAAAAAGCCATGTAAAGAAAAGTTATTTTCCCAAAGTTGCTAAAAATACAAAGTCAAGGGTACCAACCTCACTAGTGATGTGGCATCACCAATACTCTAACAAGCTTGTGTTTTTAACACTAAACACACCTTTGTCATGATTCTAACAGCGCCACGTCGCTGATGGGTGAACGGGTACTCCTCCCACCACCATGATAGTGCATTTTTAGCATCTTGTATACGATGATGATATATGTATTGCTTTAGGTTGCAATTCCTGTGGTTCCTACCATAAGAGTGCTGGTTACTTTCACAAAGTTTCAAGAGTTGCAGCCGTTGGATGAGTTTTCAACACCTCCATCCAGCCCTACTGCTGCTGCGGGGCCGGGGAGGGAAAGTCCCCTTATCAGCCAGCCTCCATCCACATCATCTTGGTTTCAGTGGATAAAATCGCCTTACCATGCGGCATCATCATCATCCACTGCAACGTCAAACTGCAGGATGGAAAACAGTCAAGACCCCTTTGCAATCCCTTCCAATTACACGTGGATAACAGCAGAAGCTAAGAAGAAGAAACTGCAGGATAAGCTGAAGAAAGGGAAGAACAAGAAACAGTAGCAGCCATGTGGGGGGAGAGGGGATCATTGTTATTAGATGTAATAATACTACTGGGAGAGTGGATGTTTTGGTTCTTTTAACTTTTTCTTAGCAACAAAACTGTGGTAAATTATTGGGAGGAGGAGAGGTATACAAGATAAATGTAAAATCTGGTCCAAATGTTTGAAGGTGATATTTTTTTAACTGTTAATTATGTGTGCATTTCTTTGAGATCAAGTGGTATAGAACAACATCATGTTGATGATGGTGCAATCTCTGCTAACATAACTTTTTGCTAAAATCTTTGCTAACATAACTTGAGTACGGGATATTTTTTGAAAAAAATAGTAGGCGTTTTCAATTTAAATTTATACACCGGATACAAATATAACATGCAAGCGAAATAAAGTATCCAATGTGCAAAGCTCATGATAACTCCTTCACCGACGTTATAGGAGCAAACACTAATGTCTACAAGGGTCTGTTTGACATGAATGCTAGAAATCTAGAATGTGATGCAAGGAATCTTAGATGCTCATGTTTGGTTCACGAGTTTGAGTTAAATACCCAACGATCTAACATTCCCACGACAATATGACATTCCTGGAACCAAAAGAGCCCTGAGGATATAGTTGATTGGATAGCTGAAATTAGGGGTGGGCTGGTCCTCGTTGGCTGGTTTCGATCCTGCAATTATATACGCTCGAGATTTTGACCTGTAGCTCCGAGACTAACCGAACTTTATACTCTTATTCAACTCAAGAACAAACTTTTATTCGATTCTCATTTCTCAAACGATCTTTTCTAATATGTCTACACATCTAATGCAACATGCGCACACATGAACTTTTGAATGTGATATTATTTCACCATACAATACTTGAGGTTATCATACTATTATACGAAGCACATAGTTATATTTTTATAAATAAATTTTATTTCCACCCAAGTAAAATTACCTGCGGAAAATCTAGTAGTGAAGTCTCGAAGATATCTTTATTGTCAAACATAGATTCTTGAGATCGACGTAGATGAAAAAACAAGCGAGGAACAGGACCTGTTAATTGCACATTCCCTCTGGTCGTCGTAGCTCAGAACTGCAGAAAGAAGCCCCCAGAATCTCATCCACCAGCCCATCGTCATTACATCTGCCTATTTCTACAACCCGACGCCTTTAGTCGGGTCCGCTTTGTATCTTTCTCTTGTCTGGAAAAACTCAACCTCACCTTATTCCGTCTGGTTTGACGTGTCCATGAGGTGATTAATTCTGGGATTTTTTTTAAAAAATGTTGTTCTTTCAGTTATAAAAAAGTAGGGAAATAAACGAATGCAGTTATATTGTTCTGCTTACTTTGGAATATTTTCCGTCCGGTGAATATGATCTTTACTCCATTTTATTTTCATAGGGACTACTACTAAATTTATGTTATACAGCTTCCAGGTGACTGTATAAAGTCTAGCAATGTTTTATTGGTTAATCATAAGCTACTTTCTTTGGAGCTAGGTTTGTTGCCAGAAGAATTGTTAACATTAAGAGCTTCAAGTTTCCCCAAAGATGGTTGTGTAGCAATGCAGAAGCCAAATTGCCTGATTCTGATTGCGACCAAATCATCAAGGTTATTCTTTATCTATATGATTCACACTGCAATTTATTATTTGTGAATTAATGTTTGCTGTGATCTTTCCGACAATAGATATTTATTTTGACATATTTGTAGATACTGGTTAGCTATTGACTGTCTCAATTTTTTTTATTCATTTAAGAGTAATCATTTGTCACATACAGTGACAAATAGAAAACTGGGTGCAAACCTACATGCTTCTTTTTCATTTAAACTCATCTTTAGCTAGAACTTTAATTAGGCCGGTATAGAACTTGTTCTATTAGTCTTCTTCCTGAACTAGAATATCATTTCTTCATTTGCTCAAAAGTAAACATGAAGTGGTTATGTAAGTTGGAGAACTTGTTAAAACTGGAATACTTGGGCTAGTAAACAAAATTAGTAATCCAGAGGAAAAAGGAAAACTGAAAACAGGGCTAACTTGAAATATGCCAGCATTGAGGTAAAGAAGGAGCTTTCTTCCTAATCTGACGGATGCAATGTCTTCAATTTGTAATTTATTAATCCCATTGTGACCATCTATTTATTACTTGGGTTGATGACCTTCTCCAAGAGTTAGTGGGTTTAGCAAGACTAAAATACGTTTCATTTGTCAGAATAGCAAGGTTACCTTTTTTATTTCACCAAAACAGTAATAAGACTGGACCAACCCTTTATCATTGTTAATTTCCATTCAATATGTCATCCATGAATGAAAAGAATGCCTTGAAAAGATAAGACGTGATATCTGGGGGGGGGGGGGGAAGACTGTGTTGTTGATCCATTTTGGGGTTCCTATTTCCTTTTCTTCTTTTGAAGTTGGCATCTGTTATTATTCCGGTATTACCCCAGTGAACAGCATTTACGGTTTCAATTAGGAATGTGATATCTTACTGCACTAAGTAAATTCTATTGTATAGACTATACAGAAATTGATGGACCAAACTTAAATAGGATTAAGTTATTATCTGCCAATAGATATCATCTGCCATCAAAATGTCGATTGGTTTTAAATATAATTTCTAATTTCAGAATAGTTTTAGTTCTCACTTTTCACATGGATATTCTTGTTCTATGATGTAGGAGCCGTTGAAGGAGCATGAGATGACTAGTCATGCCTCACAATATGATATCGCCATTGTTGGAGGTGGCATGGTCGGCATGGCATTAGCTTGCTCACTAGGTGATTCTCTCCCTCTCTTCATAAGTAAACAGTGTTCTCTTTCATATTGGGCATTTATTAATTCATCATCATTCCTCCATAATTTCTAATGACCAATCACAAAGCGATATAACCACCCATAAGTAATTCTTTGATCATATTAAGTCCATCAGCATCATTCCATCTGCCAACCTAATGTTATTCAACCTGGATAATCTAGTTAGTTGAGTTATCTTGTGATTATTATGTATATGTTCTATAAAATAATATAAATTCCTGAACATAGAACCCTAACATACATATTTCTGAAGATCAAGAGTCTTCAAGATCATCTGAACACTTTTCACTGAAGAAGTAGTGGTACTGATTGGCATTGATGTTCCTTTGTTGCCAAAAAAGGTACTTTATTACCATTATATCTGTAAGTCTGTCTAAGAATTCTGGATATGCTTGCAGCTAGTACATCATTGACAAGTAAGTTAAGGGTGGCTATAATTGACAGCAATCCTGCACTTTTGAATGTCGACTTCTTGGAAAAAGAAGTCCCTCCTGATCCAAGAGTCAGCACAGTAACTCCTGCAACGATATCCTTTTACAAAGGTATTACTATACTTTGACATTATTTTGTTTTTCATTTAACAAACTCATTTATGTAAAGTGCATATTTCCTTATGCTATTTGGATGTGTGACTATTATGATATTTGTGCTTAAATTGAAATCTCAAACTTCAATGGCCGAGTGTTGTTTCATGCTTAGTGCATGACTCATGGGGGTATGCAGCATGAGACATGGTGCAAATTTTAATTTTGAGTGGGATGCTGGACTTCCCTCACTTTTGATTATTTTTTATTTTGCTATTTGTTCTGGTATCTATATTATGCACCATTTGGTAGCTCTAATCAGATTATTTTGCGTATCAGCAGAATAGAGCATTTGGCCAACGCATTTGGCTGAAAATTCTTTTAACAAATTACTTTCCTTTCAGAAAACAATATCAGCCAAATAACCTTTACCAAACAGGCGCTTAGTTTCTCCAACTAAAATAAGATTTCCTTAGATTTGTAAATGTGCCCTCACCCTTTCAAAATGTTATTGCTGCCATTACATGTGGGTGCTTGGGGGCAATGCTGAGGTAGTACTAGTTAGTTTTGGTTAGTAAACTATTACTTGCATAAGCTTGTATCTTCTCTCAAGGAAACTGTTTTGATTTTCATCATAAAAGTAAACAGTCATTCATTATAGGTGTGGGTGCATGGCAACATGTCCAACAACACCGGCATGCCTTTTTTGATAAGATGCAGGTAAGGGCCTTTTTGTTTCTTTAATAGCCCTTGTGAAATCTTGTCATAGAACGTCTAACCCAACTTTTAATCTTACTCCACTATGTTATCATTGCTGTCATGCTTATCATGCTTATTTATTGTTATGTCCTATTATTTCATAGAAAACTTGGTGGGGGTCTTTTTCTCTTGTGGTAGTTATCATTGTAGTAATTTTATAATGGGATTCTCTGAAGTGTGCCCATGGGACAGAAGAAAAGAAGCAATTACTAAGCTTTTTATGCTTAAAATTTTCATAACTTATCCATGATAATGGTGATATATATCTAAGATTTAGTGATCACCATATCGGTTTTTTAAATCACATTTATAATTTATTGAAATTATCAGTCTTTCTCAGAACTAGAAAATGAAGCACATCAGTTTTTCTTTATCATTCGCCTATAGGCACACATTCGAAAAACTAATTCTATATGTCTAGACTTGAATCAAGTCACTTGAGCATTTCTTTCCCACCTTATGTGATTCATTCATGATGCATTAGATTTTTGAACCTATAGGTCTGGGATTACACAGGTCTAGGATATACAAGGTACAATGCAAGGGATGTTTGTAAAGAAGTTTTAGGGTAAGTGTCTTTATAGTTAAATGGAGAATCCTGTTTTTTATTGTATTATGATTATAAATTTCAAGCTTATAGATACTTGGGTGTTTACTTTAGGTGCGTTGTCGAGAATAAAGTTCTTCACAGATCCCTGTTATCATGCATACAGGTATTCAAAAGGTTCTATATGTTCATATTGTTTTAACTTTTAGTGAATAGCCCTTGAGAATTTATTTGTGAAAATAAACACTTATGGATGTTTTTTTCCAGAAATGTGTGCTAGTCCTAGGCTCCTAGCACATCATATAGTTATCATGCTCATGATTTTCATTGGTTGATTTGTGACATGTAAACATTTTCTCCGACCATCAGGAGTTAGTTTCTTTTTCCCCTTTCTCTGGTTTTTTCGCTAATATCCCATCTCTTTCCTTTTTTAGAGGGATGATATCGTAAAGAGGCAAGGGGACAAATTGTCAAGAAAGAATATATTTATAAAACTGAACTAAGATTGAGAAACAAACATGTAGAAGAAGAACCAAAAGAACATCAAATACAAGCCTATGGCTGCCCAGCTCTAAAGTCTCAAATTCTACTCATCTCTAAATGCTCCTTTGCTAAAGGAAGCCTATTACAATTACAATGTGTAATATACTCCCTCCCCATTACTTAGCCAATGTTGACTGGCACAAGGAATAAAGCATGGAGATATATATAGTTGACTGGACAGATTTGCCCTTCAACTTAAATTACGAAAAGGAGAAACCCAAGTAAGGTACAACCCATTTGCTCCTACTTGCAGGCAAGCTCAATGCTTTTCTTACACATGAAAGTACACTGAGTTGAGAGAAAACATCAAGGGGGTGTCCAACAAACAAAAAATAATCCACCAAGAGCACCAAACGCCTTATAATTGAAATACGAACAAATTAATTTAAAAAAACAAATCAACAATACAACAACAACAACATCCAAGCCTTAATCCCAAAAGAATTTGGGGTCGGCTAACATGAATCGATCTATGATATCGATGCCAAAAAGAGAAGGCGGACAAGAAAAGGAAAAAAAAGTAAGATAAAATGAATAAAATAAAGATACATAAATATAAGATAACAATAACACAAGAATATAACCAAGATAAAAGAAAAATAAATAAAAGAGCATAAAAAAGCTAGAAGATAAAAATAACATAAGAATATAAAAAGATAAGGAAGATAAACGATAAAAGAAACAAGAGAGGAAAGGTAGACAAGACATCAATCGTCCACATGGATGTGCACCCTCCACTTTGCTCTCTCCAAAGACATACTCTCATCCAACCCAAGAAGACGCATATCAGTTCTCATTACTCTAATCCAAGTTTGTTTGGGTCTTCCTCTTCCTCTCTTCTCTGACTCTTCTCCCCACCCCTCAAGTCGTCTAACAGGTGCATCACTCGGTCTTCTATGCACATGCCCAAACCACCGCAAACGAGACTCCTGCATCTTATCTTCTATAGGTGCTACTCCCACCTTTTGTCTGATTACCTCATTCCTCAGGCGGTCTTTTCTGGTATGTCCACACATCCAACGCAACATACGCATCTCTGTCACACTCATCTTTTGAATGTGGCATTGCTTCACCGCCCAACACTCTACGCCATACATTAATGCCAGCCTAATTGCTGTACGATAAAATTTACCTTTCAGTTTAGTCGGCATACCTCGATCGCATAGAAATCCTGAAGCACTTTTCCATTTCATCCACCCAGCTCTGATTCTATGACATACATCTCCATCTAATTCACCGTCCTTTTGAATTATGGACCCAAGTAACGGAACATATCACACACCGGTATCTCCTTACCATCAAGAGTAATCCCACTGTTGCTACTGCTTCTACCTCCACCGAACTTGCACTCCATATACTCAGTCTTGCTTTGGCTCAGTTTGAAACCCTTGCTCTCCAATGTTTGTCGCCATACTTCCAACTTTGCTTTAACACTGGATTGTGTCTCATCAATCAATACAATATCGTCGACAAACATCATGCACCACGGTATGTCTTCTTGAATTGACTTCGTAAGTTCATCCATGACTAAAGCAAATAAGAAAGGACTCAGAGCAGATCCTTGGTGCACTCCAATAGTAATAGGGAACTCTGCGGTCCTCCCTACACTAGTGCTGACACTTGTAGTACAAGCATCATACATATCCATGATGATGCTGATATACTTACGTGATATGCCTTTTCTAGTTAAGGCCCACCAAAGAACTTCTCGAGGTACCTTATCATATGCCTTTTCCAAGTCAATGAACACCAAATGAAGATCCTTTTAGTGTCTCTATACTTCTCCACAACTTGTCTAAGAAGGTGAATGGCCTCAGTTGTTGAGTGTCCAGGCATAAAACCAAATTGATTCTCCGAAATTTTCACACTTTTACGTAGTCTTTGCTCAACCACTCGCTCCCAAAGTTTCATGGTGTGACTCATAAGCTTAATCCCTCGATAGTTAGCACATTCTTGTACATCACCCTTATTTTTAAATAAGGGAATGAGAGTACTCTTCCGCCAACTCACTGGCATTTTGTTGTTTCTCCAAATCATGTTGAAGAAACGTGTTAGCCACTCGATGTCTTTCTCTCCCAAACTTCTCCAAGCCTCGATCGGTATGCCATCTGGGCCCACTGCTTTCTTCCGGCCCATTTTTCTCATAGCCTCTTTAACTTCTGTTGTTTGAATCCTTCTCACGAAGTCCCTATTTACCATACACTCTGAGGTATAGTAAGATCATCACTACCTTGGACTTTATTCCCGTTGAACAAGGTATCAAAGTATGACCTCCACCTCTCTTTTATTTCTTCGTCGTCCATTAGTACCCTTTGATCGACATCCTTCACACACTTAACTTTTCCGATATCTTGAGTCCTACGGTCACGAAGGCGAGCAAGTCTGTAGATATCTTTTTCTCCTTCCTTAGAATCCAACTTTACATACAATTCCTTATTCACTTTTCCTTTGGCTTCCTTCACAACTTTCTTTGCTCTTCTTCTAGCCTCTTTGTACTCCTCTATGTTCTCGTCGCTCCAACTTTTGCCCAATTTCTTATAGCATTCTCTTTTGGCCCTTATTGCTTTTTTCACCTCATCATTCCACCAAGATGTGTCCTTTTTTGGTGGCAGACATCCTTTAGATTCTCCGAGTATCTCCTTCGCCACTTTGTTAATGGTGGACTCCATTGATAACCACACATCATCCACGTGTGTGCCATTATCAATAGACCAAACATCTTCCTCCAACATTTTGTGTGCAAAACTTTGTTGGAGATTCCCCTCGAGCCTCCACCATTTTATCTTTGGCTCCCCTTGTACCTTAACTCGTCCCCTCTTTTTACCTCGAAAATCAAGCACAAGCATCCTATGCTGAGTGACAGCACTCTCACCTGGGATAACCTTACGATCAGTGTAGCTAGTTCTCCAAGTCGTCCATACTAAAAAGTAGTCAATTTGGGTACTATTAGCTCCACTTCTATAGGTGACAAGGTGAGAGTCTCTTTTCTTGAACCAAGTGTTCATCACAGCCAACTCATATGTCGAGGCAAAATCCAGAATGTTCTTCCCCGCTTCATTTCTAGTGCCAAAACCATGTCCGCCATGGACACTCTCAAAACCATCACGACTTGGGCCCACATGCTCGTTGAGGTCGCCTCCTATGACCAGTTTCTCTCCCCTTGGCACTCGTCGCACCACTTCCTCAAGATCCTCCCAGAATTGTTGAGTGATAGATGCATCCAATACCACTTGTGGTGCATAGGCACTAACCACGGACACGATCTCATCCCCTATTATCAACTTAATGCTCATGAGGCGATCGTTCTTCCTAAACACTTCAACCACACCGTCAACATAATCATGTGCCACCATAATGCCTACTCCATTTCTGTTCCCCTCTCTCCCCGAGTACCAAAGCTTAAAACCTTCGGGATTAATCTCGCGTGCCTTTTCTCCAACCCACTTAGTTTCTTGCATGCACATTATGCTGATATTCCTCCTCTTCATAACCTTGGCTATCTCAGATGATCTTCCCGTAAGAGAGCCAACATTCCATGTCCCAAAGCGCAATCTAACACCCTGCCTTCTCTTCTTCACCCCACATCGACCCCCACCATGCCCTTGCATATTTGACACCATCCCCGGGCATTGGAGTGGCGCATCGCTTCCGGGCGACGACCTAGCAGCCTTAACATTCTTATTGCCACACCCAGGCCTATGAAGTGTAGCGTGCCCTTGCTCATTTGACATCACACCTAGGCGGAGGGATGACGCGTCGCTTACGGGCGACGACCTAGCTGTAGCGATATTCATATTTCGATTCATGTCATGTGATGTGACTAAGTGATACTGTTGGCCGTCACGCGCCTACCACAACACCCTCCTCCTTTATCTTGGCTTGGGACAGGCATGATACCAAAAAAATGATCTCATGGCGGAGTTAAAAAAAACAAATCAACAATGCGAACAAATAAACATCAGGTTTTGAGAAGACCAAGAAATGTTGCGTTCTGGATTCAACTTGATTCCAGCAAATTGATTTGCTTCATTGATTCCGAAACCTTTGGAAGTCCTCCTATTTCCTCTTCTTCATCCATATCAGTGCAGATACCTTCATCCTCTTTAGCTCCTTGTAGCGCTCTCGTCATCGCCGTCTCATCTTCCATAGGTGGAGTCTCAAGGAAGACAGATAAGCATGTCCTCAAAATCCATCCGAGAGAGGAAAGGGATGGTAAGAGAAAGGAAGGGAAAGATTGTCTAAGAGAAAGCAACGGGGCAGGAAGTGGCCAAGTGGGTAATAACTGTTGAGAATGACAGAGAGTTTTGAAAAAGGGTTAAATGTGCCATTGCAATTTTATTTACTACCCAAAATAGAATGCGGTAAAGTATTTTGGGACAACCAATAAGTTTAGATGACTAACTAAATAGGGACAGAGGGAGTAGTAGTAATGACTGAATGATGGTAATAGTAATCCCAAGACTATTGGTAATCGTAATCTTGACTGATTGCTCATTTTCTCATTTATTTCCTTTTTCTACTCCTGAGTCTTCTCTCATTTCGTTATACCAATTGGTCCGATTGAGAGATGGGGAGAAGAGGCAGGGAGGAGCAGGAGAGGACGTCCAGAAAGACGTGGATTAGAGTGGTCAAGAATGATATGGTACCTATTGGGTGGATGAGAGTATGACTTTGGAGAGCGAAGTGGAGGGAGAGTATACATGTGGAGGATTGATCTCTTTTGATCTTTCTTAACTCTGATGGCATATGTCGATTCATGTTAGCCGACCCTAAACTCTTCTGGGACTAAGGCTTGGATGTTGTTTTAGTCTTCTTTGATTTTGCTGTCAATATATGTATCATGGGATTATTTTCTTCACGCTTGAATTAGTTAACCAGGCTAAATAATGGGCCTGGGGGCCTGGGGAGGTTCTTATCCTGAGAGGCATGAGCCTTTATTTGATGTAGGCCGTAGTTGCTTAAGTAGACATGTGAATGGATGGGGAAATTTAATTATTTTCTTGTATGTTTTAACAGTTCAAGTTATTGGTGTGTTTGTAATTAATCTAGATTAGGTGTTTACGATCTTATAATTTCTGACCCTGGAGAATTTCGCAGAATACAAACTTCGAGAAGAGAATATACCCTGCAAAGTTAAGCTCAATGACCTTAAATTCCAGTAGTTCGTTCACAACTTCCAGCGGCAAATCACAGTCATGTGGAAGTTCTGTTAGATTGGGTTTGAGCAATGGTGATAGCTTGAATACAAAGTTGGTGGTAAATCTCAACTTCTGCTTTTTTATACAAGCATTAAGAAATTTGTTCTATAAACAAATACTCCGTCCAATCTTCATCGATTCCAAATAATCTTAGCGATATACAACTTTTTAAATCTGGCAAGGTACAAATGTACAACTATGAAATACTCCCTCTATTCTTTATTAACTGACTCGTATTCTTTTTTGGGACGTTTTTAATTATTTGTCCCTCTTTCCCTTTTTGGTAAGTTTTTTCAATCAAAATACCTTTATACCCCCACTTTTATTACCATTACCCCTTTCTCTTTCCTACTTTTTCATTTACCCACAACCCACTACACCTTTTACACTACCCCTATTATTTTCCTTTTAAAACCCGTGCCAAAGCCTAAGAGGACAGGTAATAAAGAACGGAGGGAGTAATATTTACATTTATTTGTTGCTTTGCAAAGTGTATCATATTTAACTAACTTGCAACACTTTCTGGCAACTATTTTACATGAAAAATCTAGCTTTTGATGAAATATGACTCTTTGAGGAGTGGATGTGGGGATGTGAGATATGATATATTTATACAAAACGTGGCACGCCCACTCATGCACACACACATCTTCTAAGATATATGTAGTATTAAATTTTCAGTTTTTTGAGTTGTTTCACACATCCACTACAGTGTGGTGTATGTGACAGGTTGGAGCTGATGGGTCAAAATCACATGTTAGGGAGTTGGCGGGAATTGAGACGGCTGGATGGAAATATTCTCAGAGTGCCATAATCTGTACCGTAGAGCATGCAGAGCCGAACCAAATTGCTTGGCAAAGATTTTTACCCAATGGTCCAATCGCACTTTTGCCAATAGGTGATAATTTCAGCAACATTGTTTGGACCATGGACCCCAAAGAATCATCGGAGCGGCAATCAATGAGCGAGAGTGACTTTGTGAACATAGTGAACAGTGCATTGGTCGAAGGGTATGGCCCACCTCCCAATTCACCACCATTTCGCGGTCCTAATTTATTTTCTTGGTTGAGACCAGCAAATGCCACACCATCATCAGCTGATGATTGCTTTGAACTTCCACCAAAAATCATAAAATTGGCTTCTGCAAGAATGGTATTCCCATTGTCCTTGATGCATGCCAAAAGTTATGCAAAAAGGCGTGTGGTTCTTATAGGCGATGCAGCACACACTGTTCATCCACTGGCTGGTCAAGGAGTGAACATGGGCTTTGCTGATGCCATTGCTCTTTCAAAAGTCATCGCTGAAGGTGTCACTGTAGGATCTGACATTGGAGAGGTATGTCCATCATTTATTTGTTTGTTCAAACTCTTAAAGCCTGTTTTTCAAGGGTTATTGGCTAAAATGAATGAATACTCTATACCTTTTTAAAGTAAAAATGCTTGGTAAGATCCGTTTCAGCCAAACTAGTCAAAAGCTACTTATTAAGTTAATAACTAGAGTCAGCCAAATCTCTCTACTAAACGGGTTATTATGCATCTTCTACTTGTTGAGATTAGAATTAGAATCAGCCAAATCATGCCACCAAATGGGCTCTTATGTATTTTATATCTTAGTTCTTTGGTACCATTGTGCTGATTAAAAAGCTTTGATTGGGGGACAGGTTTCTGTGTTGCAGAAATACGAATCAGAGAGGAAACCAGCAAACATGGCAATGATGGCAGTGCTAGATGGGTTTCAAAAGGCATATGCTCTTGACTTTATGCCTGTCAATCTACTCCGGGCGGCTGCTTTCCAGGCAGCTCACTACGTATCACCACTGAAACGAAATATCATCTCTTTCGCTTCAGGTGAACACAAGCTTCCGCTTCTTTTCTCCTGATCTTATGTGAGTTTTTTCTTTCTAAAAAGTATAATTTTGGTATAATATCGTTACACAATAATGGTCTACTGGCCTACATTTCCTGATGTATTTATTTAAACAACTATTATGAGAATTAAGTGATCTATTTATTGTTAATATCATTACATAATACAGAATAATTGTCTACTAGCGCCAGGAAAACGGCCCAGGGTCAAAAATCAACTATCTACAAAATGAAAATGGTGAATCATTTTTAGACAATGTTTGAATTATGTTTCATATGTAGTTTGGATAAATATACACTCGTCGGAATAAGATAGATTTTGTCTTTGCTCTGTTTCTGAGTCATGTTAAGTAAGTAATGAGTTGATTATACGCTATTTTTAAAATTTGGGAAAATAATCAATATTACGCATCAATTTTGCTGATTTTACGTTTAAATATTGCTGATTTTCCAGAAGTCATAACTTTTTACTCGTAATGAATTACGAAAGACATAATATATCAAATCAAAGATATTTTAGAGCTTTATACTCTCAAATTTTCAGGGGTCGGTTGACCCCTGGCTCCACCCTTGACTAGTGCATTCTCCTCACACTTCTTGATGTATTTATTTAAACAATTATTTTGAGAATTAAGTGATCTCTTTGTGGTTAATTAATGATTTGACTAACTCTAAAGTTAGTGTGTTGTACTGACATAAATAGATATGCATAAGTGATAACAATGGGTAATATGCATGAATCAAAATTAAATGATATAATCTTGCGCAAAAGTGCATAAATTTTATTGTAAAAGTAAATGAAAAATTAATTGGTATAATACTATAATGTCATTCATTTCATGTGCATAGTGAGATTTTGCTTTGTTGTACGTGATACAATTCTTATCGTTGTTATTATACCTTTATAAGAAATTTCTAAAAAATTATAACCTTATATGATGTTAGATGATCCTATAAAAGAAGTGAATACAGATATACAATAATGATAGAGATATTTACATTTATGTATGTTTTTCATATTAAATAAATGCATAAATTTTCAGCGTTTGGATTTAGAGACGGCCATTTAGAAATGATGTTTTTTGTTGAAAAATTATGAAATAAAATTTATTGTTGTGCCAAAAATATACTTTGAATATTTCTAAACGAATTATGCCGTTTTTATTTACTAATTTAGATCAAGATAACATCGAGTCATATAAGATTCTACAAGGAAAATTCTTTAGTACGGGTAGTAATTTAGTGTCATCCTGAAACTCTATTGCCATATTTTATCATCTTCAGAAGTTAATATGACAATATGTTGTTATATTTTTCAAGCATGATAGTAATTATGTAGAATTAAAATACAGTGCTCCTAATTTGGAATACTACATTGTTTTTCAATGTAGTGCTATATAATCTTTTCAACGGTTGTTAAATTGTGGGATTGTCGATGGTTAGCTTCAAACTCCCGCACCTAAAACAATGTCATTTGGGTTTTAACTTTAATTTAAAAAGCGGTGAACACTGAATGATACTCATATTTTTGTCTCAATATTTTTCGTAATGTCAATCTTGTGCATTGAAATGTAGCTCGCATTGCTAGGAAATGTAATCTCGTTAGTGGCAAATGTAACTCGCGCACTGGAATGTAACTCGCGTTATTCCCTCAAGTGGTTATTCTCTCATCTTTCATATAGGGGTGGACCCGATTCTGCTCCCGGTTTGGACACGGTCCGGTTCTATTAATTAGTTGATCTGCAGTAAAAAGAAAAGAAAAGAAAAGAAAAACCAGTTTGGGACCGGAACCGGCCGGTCTGGTCTCGAAAAATGAGAACCATGAATGGGATTGCCTTTTACCCATTCTGGTCCAATCCAGGACTGCCGACCGTGTCCACCCATTACCCATAGGCCATACTTTCATACATTAAATGTGATTTGGCGTATGTAAAATGTATCTTCATGCATGTCGAAATATAAATCGCATATATGCAAAATGTAACTTGTTGAGGCAAGTTGAAATGTAAATGTAAATGTAAGTCATGCATATAAAAATGTAACTCAATGTATTATCAAATATAACTCCTGGCGTTAGTACATCTAAATGTAACTCGCCCATATGAAAATGTGACTTGTACACATGTAATTCCATGTATTATATAATGTAACTATATGTATCGTCTATAAATGTAACTCACACATCTGAACATGTAAATCGCATTTATGAAAATTTAATCTCTTGTGTCATCAAATGTAAATCGTGCATATATATTACAATAAATTACAGTAAGTCTGATAAATTACTAATAAAACAAACAAACTTGTCTTTAAAAACCTCTAAAACATATACTTGATATAAATATATATTATAAAAAATGTATGAATATGTAAAATATATTACATAAAAAAGTGTGCATATAAAAATATTACCGCAAAAATAGTGTATGCATATGAAATGTATACTCCCTCCGTCCCTGAAAATACTTCTAACTTTCCCTTTTCGTTCGTCTAAAAAAGAACTTCCTTTTCCCTTTTTAGCAAAGAATTTGTGGTTCACAACAATTCTTACACATTTCTCTCTCCTCTGCACAACTCTTCACCACACAAAACTCTCTTTCTTAATCTGTGTGCCATTTGTACTACCAAAGTAAAATTATGGGACGGAGTAATACTTATTTTATTTAGATTAATAATTTTTTTGTTATTAATTGATAAAGAATACAAAAAGCATATTTAATTTAATTTTTTAGTATTTTGATGGAAAAGAAGAAAAATTAAAGAAAATAAAAATAAAGAAAAATCAGGAAATTGAAGGAAAAGGAAAGAAACAATAGATGCAGCGAAGAATAAAGGGAGTATGCAAAAGACACTGTTAATTCAAAGACACTGTTTACTGTTATGTATAATTCAAAGGTACATTTAAAATAAAATAGCAACATATAGATGGTACAAATGAATTATATTTAAACAGTAGGCAAATGAATTTGTTCAATTATTTCAATCCTGGAGACGAGCTTTTATGCTATATAAGTGTCGTTCATAATTTGAAAAGAATTCTACTTTGAAGTTTTGAATTGACGAGAGAAGGTGTGCTACTTAACATAACTCTTTTTAATAAAATAAGTCAAACACAACTAGTTTCCAAAAATGTTAAATAGAAAAGAGATTCACTGTAAAAAAAATTGAATGGAAAAAGCAATCAAATTGAAAAGTAATAATAATGAAGAAGAACAACAAAAGGATGACAATTGAATGTAGAAATTCGGTTCTGCCAGTAAGCAATCTGAACTCTAAAGAAAAAGTAATTTGTTGAAAGGCGGTTTAGAAAACTAACAAAAAATATAAACTAGTTGATCATTTTAAGGGAGCAATACTAAGAAAAGGTGATTTTTCTCAAAAACTTACTTTAGTGCTGTGGAAACTATGTTTTTTCCTCAAGAAAAAAAGGGAGCAATACTAAGAAAAGGTGATTTATGAGTGAGATAATGTCAAAAATATAACTAATGACTTTTGCAAAGATAAAAATATGTCCATAAACTCATTTCGACAAAAAACAAAAAAATGACCTAAAATATATGAGCCGCCCTTCTCTGTCCTCTCTTACGCAACATAGCTCGTAATTTATATCCTACACCCGGGTGTAGGGATGGACTCGGGTCCGGGCCGGGTCCGAGTCCGGCCTAGGCCCGGGCGGGCCGGCGGGTCAGAAATGGTGGACCCGGGACCGGCCCGGGTAACCACCGGGTCCGGTCCGGGTCCGGGCCGGGCCCATTATATATATATTTTTTGTTTTCCTCTTCCTAATTAACCCCCCTCCCATCCCCAACCCCCCAAATCACCCCAAATGGCCCAAAATACCCAGCCCAACCCGAAAATTTAAAAAAAATTGAAAAAAAAATAGTTTTTGGCCCGAACCGGGCTCGGGCCCGGTCGGGTCGGGCCTTGTTTTGGGTGACCCGAGCCCGGACCGGAAAACCCACGGGCCGGGCCTACCCGGACCGGTCACTCACCGGGCCACCGGGTCGGGCCGGGCCGGAACAGTACCGGTCCCGGGCCGGTTCCGGGTCGGGCCACCCGGCCCGAGTCCATCCCTACTCGGGTGTATAAGTACACCCAATATTTTTGTAATATATATCAACTTCAAGTCATTGATTCTCTCATCTTCCTCGCTGAATCAACATGTTCGCCCCATCCTCTTTCCTCTTCCGCTGCCATCCTCTTTTCTTTCCTCTTCCGCTATAATCCCCTTTTCTTTCTTTTCTTTCGCCGCCATCCTCATTCCTGATTGTTACCTTTTTAGTTTTGTCTTTTTTATTTTTATTTTTTTCTTTACTTTTACCGCTAGCTAGTTGGTTTTACTTTCTTTTGGTTTGTCTTTTTTCTTTACTTCTTCTCGTTTCTGTATTTGTTGTTTACTTCTTTCTTTTTCTTTATATATCAATACTGAGTACATTAGAAATGAGATTTACTTTAAATTCAAATCAGTAAAACGCTTAAAAGATGAACATACACAAATGAGCTTTTGAATTTTTGGGTACTCATTTTGTAAGTTATGTGTGTTCATTTAGTATCTCTATTATGCTCATTTATAAAATGTTTTAGGAGTGCATATTTCAAAAGTCTCATATTACATTAGATTTATATAAGAGTTGATTATAGATACAAGACCACAAACCATGATACTCAATCACATATTCTAATACTCAATAACGAGGTTTGATGCTCACTGAAAATGTTTTGATGCTCAACAAACAAAACTTACAATTTTCATATTAATTGCACGATTTTTATTTAATTTTTGTATGAATGATTTAATTGATATCTTTTGTAACCTGGAACGGCCGCTAGGATTATAATTGCACATAGAATAAATTAAGAGAGATCTAATTTATTTTAGGATACTTTCTGATGGAGTATATGGCTCGGGAACCCCCGGCCCACAGACTCCTACTACACCAATAAAGGCCCAACCGGCCCAGGAAGCACAGCAGGCCCCAAATTACGGCGCCCCAAGCACTTAGCAGCCCACAGCGCACACTGGGTAGCCTTCCGCCCCCTGGCCGAAGGCTCAAAACTCTCGCAGAATGGGTTTTCAAGCAAACTAAGAAACTAGGAGAAAAACGGCAGAAAACAGTAGCCCTCGGCACCTGGAGCCCTCGGCACCCAGGGGGTCCCCGGCACTCAGAGCCCTCGGCTAGTTCTCTGCAGCCGAGGGCACCTCTCCTGACATAATATCCGCGCCACATGCGTACAGATCACCGTACCCTGTACAACGTCCCATCCAACAGTCGCATTAAATGCGGCCACATGCGGCTGCCAACGCCAACCA